GAGAGAGAGAGAGCGTGTGTGTGTGTGTGTGGGGGGGGGGGGGGGAGGGAGGAGGCAAGGTGTGCGCATGTGGGTGTGTGCTCACGTGTGCATGCGCGCATGATGAGCATGCCCGCGTACATGCACAGTTGCTGCATGAGAAGGTGTGCGAACAAGGTTGCATGCCACACGCTCCTGGGGGCCTCATGCTGTCGACCAACCAACACACACATGAACAGACCCTTTGACAAACCCTCAACTCGATGCTCCTCCCACATGCATGTTTGGCACACGCGCGCGCACACACACCTGCACGCACGCACGCACACACATACACACACACACATACACACACACCATTGGCCACCCCAGCACGTGCGCGCGCACCTTCAGAACCTGGGGCTTGCTGCTGAGGCCGTAAGGCAGGTTCTCCAGCTCAGCCACCCTGCGGAGACGCACGTCATGATGACATCATCACTTTGTTTCATTCGGACGGATCCACCACTCCAACTTACAAGAAGCGCTCAGGATGCGCCCGCCCGGACCGGCCCGGTCGGTTGAGAAGCGGCGGGCCCCGACCTTCTGACAGGGCCGCGCCGCGAGGCCCCGCGCTGCCCCGCGAGCCAGCGCCCGACCACTGGACCGCGCCCCCCGGCTGCGTGTGGCTGGGCGGGCCGGGGGGCGCCGCGGTGGCGGCAAACCCGGAATTCTGCGTGCGACCGCGTGCCGGCTGGCGCGCGCGCGGGGGGACGCGGCGCACCTGTGGGCGAGGCGCACTGGCAGCTCCTTTTGGAGGAACTGGGCTGACAGCACCAGCTGCCGCTCTATGGGGTTGGCGCCGAAATCCAGCTGCGGGGCGCGGCAGTTCGTTGAGGGCAATCGATTGCGGGACGGACGGCCGTCGGGCGGGGACGGGCGCGTGCGGCGCTGAGACGCGGCAGGCCACGCGCTCTGCAGTGTGCATCCGGCTGGGTGCGGGAGGAGGTGTGCGGGGGCTGGCGGGGTGGCCGGGATGCTCGGGCGCGCGGCAGGCCGCCGCGGCCGTGGCCGCGCGGCGAGGGGCCGGCTTCCACGGACGGGCTGCGGCCTCCGCGCCGGGGCCCGCCATACCACTGCCCCCACCCCGCGGGTCTGGCGCAAGGTGGGGGCTGGGCATGCCGAAAGATCGCCAGTCGGCGCCGCTGCTGCTGGTGCTCTCAGAGCTGTCCAACAGCGCTTTGCTCACCATGTACTTGAGACTGACGCCCGTCTGCTTCTTCAACGCGTGCGCAAAGATGTCGTCAACGATCTCCCGAGGCACAGCATCCGAAAGCCGCGTCCCGCTGTGCGCCACGGACGCGCCAGCCGCAGCGGCGCGCACCGCCGCGCGCGCCGCGGCGCCCGCCGCCGACGCCATCGCGACAGAAGCTGGGAGGGCCGCCATCCCTGTTATGTCTTGGTACTGTCTCTAGTTATTCCTCGGCTGCGCCGGGGCCGCCCAATGGCCGGGCATAGGGACGCCCCACGGGCGCCCTGAGCTGTCAGGACCCACCCCTGACAGCCCGCCCTTTTGGCGCAAAATCGAGTCCACCTGCGCAAGCAATATTTGCTTCTCTGCGCGCACAGCGTCCGCGAGCAGCAACGCCGCGCAACCCACACAGCCGCGGGCAGTCTGTGAGCTTCGACTGAGCGTTGAGCTGCGCCAGCACGCGTGAAAGTGCATCAGGAAGCTGAATTCTGACGGATGTGCCGGTGTGCGGTACCGCAGCCGCCTGGCGGCGGTTGCGGTGCCGCTTGCTGTTGGACAGGCTGGAGATCCGCCACCCGGGGTCTGGGCGTTGTTGGTTTGCGCAGAGCATGCCCCCGCCGACAGCATGCCTCGTTTATGACTGAAAACGTAATTCTAGCACCAGCCTACGGTCGCTGGATAACAAGCGGGACGGCCAGCAGGAGCCACACCGGGCACACGGTTTGTTCACCCTCGCTCTCCCCCCTTGCCCTCCTCCAGCTGAGTCGTGAGGAAGGAGGGTCCCTCCCCAAAGAAAATTGTCCAGCCGTTTCTCATGCCGCCGACCGCTTTGACCAAAGCCATGCGCCCGCCGCCGGGCAAAACAGAAGCCAGCTGGCTGGTTACAGAGCGCAAGTTTGGCGGTGCGTGGGATACCACATGCAAGATACTCCATGGGCGGCATCGGCCATATCAGCATTCCAACCAAAATGGGCGACGGCGCAAGGAGCCGCCGCGTGCGCACGTGGCACTAAGCCTGTAGAACCGCGGTCAAACAGGACCCATACACAAGACAGCAGCTCTCTGCCCGGGCCGGAGCCAGAGCCCGGCGACCAGGTTTCCAGGACCCAGCGGAAGAGTTTGACAGGCAAGGGAGGACCCCCGTCTGTGGCGGGTGGCATGTACATGCAGACACAGATGGGAGGCAGCGCCGCGCCACCGCTCGGCGAGCATGCACAACTCCTGGGGGCACGCCCCAAGCAGCTTCCGAGCGCTCTCACCGAAAATTAACAGTAAAACGCCCAACTACCGGCATACTGCGGTTTATCCGCTGCCGCTGCTTCGCTTTTTGTTATGGCCCCCAGAGCTCCTCTCTGCACACGACAACACTGCCGAAACTCAAGCTGGCGGCGCCCGCCGGCGCCGCTGCCGCCACCCAGCCCCCAGCCGCACGCCCGCCGCCAAGCGGGCGCGACGCCGGGACTCGGACTGCCAGGTTTGGTGCGATCTCAGATCTCAATATTTCAAGATCTCGGATCACAGGTTTGCCTCGATCATCTCTCGCAGCTTGTCGACCTTTGCGCCGGTCATCTCCCCCAGCTTCTCCCGGCCCCGGTACAGGTGGAATGTCGGCGCCACCTTTTGGGGGGTTGGGGATGAGAAGCCATGTGCATGCCCCAAGTAAGTCAAACAGGCGCCCCAAGTGAGTCAGACAGCCAAGACTATCTCGTAAAACCGCGTCGGTGCGTACCCGCAGCGCCCCACAGCCGTCGCTAAGCCTGGAAACAGCCCGCCAGGTCGTGGCGGGCCCCCAAACTCGACAGGCTCGTAGAGCCCTGCCAAGACCAGACGCGGCCTTATTCAACACAACCCTGTCCCATCACATGCTGCCCTGCCTTCCCCGCTTCCATGGATGAATCCCACGCCAACATCAGCAGCCAGATCACACCTTGATGCCCAACTGCTTGCCCAGCTCCTTGTTGTCCTTGTTGCAATTAAACTTGACAACCTGCCGCGTGAGGAGTCGATGTAACATGTAGGTGACGTTTGATTGGGCAGACTCAAAATCAGATAGCATGCTTGCTTGATGAACACGCCTGCTTACCACCAGCCTGCAAGCTTTGCTTGAACAAACAAGTTGGGTGCATGGCTGTGGGGAGACGTGCGGGCATGTCACCGCGCTCTGCGTCGGCGGCTGCTGGGGTGGCAGCGGGCGGCCGCAGCTGCTCCGGAAGCGGTGAGGCGCAGGAACTGCGCGGCTCGCCACAGCAGCAGCAGCAGCTGCGCCAGCCGCCCCCCGGCAAATGTCGCGGCTGCAGCGCCGATCGGAATACCCCCTATTGCCGTCTCGTCGTCTTCGGCTGAGCCGGCCGAGCAGCCAAAAGCAGGTCGTTCTGGACTGATCCAACAAATGCAGCATCCGCGGGGCCGCATCCGGGCTGCTGGCTGCAGCAGATCAGATCACGCACCTGTCCGCCCCGAGTCTTCAGCTCCTCATTGATCTTGACCAGCTCAGGGTAGATCATCTGTCGTTTGAATTTGAATCGCCCAATCAGCGTTCACGAGCGTATTCAGTCAAAATTGTGTCGAGGGCTGAATCAGATATTGGGCATGGGATTCAGGCGGTCTCAACTCGACTGCGACACCGCCACATTCAGGGTTCAAAACATCGTGCAATGCCGGACACACTTCACCCATGTGTGAAGGCTCACCTTGCACGGGCCGCACCAGTCTGTCCGCGGGAGGGGCCGAGCGAGCGGGGTGCGCGCCGGGGGTGGTGTGAGCTGCGCGGGCTCACAGGTGTCACATCCCGGCTGCCTCGCCTGCAGCACGTGCCGCTTGCTGCCCTTGTCCCACCGCAAGACTGTTTGGGTGCCAAATTAATCTACACCAACCCAACCCTGAACTTCGGAAACCTGCAAGCCACAAATGCAGCCAAAGGACCCCCTCCAGTGCCGCCTGGCCGGACTGCCGGCGGGGCGCCCCAGTCACCGCCCAGCAAAGAGGATCTGTGCTCGACGCGCCATCCCGCCCCAGCTGAGCCCCGGGCGCACCCCACCGGTACTTTTGACACAGCACACTCAATACAAAAGAAGCATCCTGCGGTTTTCAGACTCACCGGTGTAGAAGTCGCAGATGGTCAGCTTGTCTGAGTGGGACTCCAGGAAAGCCCAGAACTCCTCTTGGTTGAGCTCCCTCAGGCCGGCCTGGCGGGGCGCAGGAGCCAGGTCGCATCTGGATTTTCAAAACGCTGGCGGCGACAGATGGTGATTCGGTGCTCATCGAGCGGCAGCGTGGAGGCGGTGCAGCCGTGCATCTGATAAGGGGGCCTGCTTGCGAGAACGCGCGCCGACCTGGCTGACTGCTCCGCCTGCACTCGCACCTGAACTGCAGTGCCGGCTTCAGCCGAGTTGCCCGCCGCAGCAGCTGCCACGCGCGGCCGGCGCCGCGCAACAGGCGCTGCGCTGCCGCTGCGGATGGGCGCGAGGGCCGCCAGGTGCTGCTGCTGCTCCTGCTGCTGCTGCGTTGCGTGCGTTCGTAGGTGTGGCGCCCTAGCGCAGCAGGCTGGGACCTGTGCGGCTGCACGAGGCTGGCTGCACGCCACCGAAGAGAAGCTAGACTGCATCAACATCACGACGATCGTGCCAGGTTGCCGAATGTCTGGCTTTCGGCAAGTGGCCAGGGGTGGGTGAGATGGCAGGGAACCGTAGTGCGACGTCTGTGATGTAGTTGCAAGCTCACGTAACATGCCAGCAGCTGCGTTCTCAGGGGTGACCTGGATGGGATCTTGTGCCGCTCTCGCATCACTCCCGGCACTGTCACCGAAGTGGTAGTAACGCACCAGACCACGGCCCAGGGCAGAAACAACAAGCTTACCGATTATAAGTGCTTCAGTTGTGCCGCATGGGAGAGGCTGTGTCATGCGAGGGGCTACTGCTCGCGGCCCCATCACTGTTGGGCCAACAGCAACATCGGGACATGCCACTTGTGCTGCAGCACTGTGCGGCATGCCAGAACTCTGAAGCTGCAGCTAAGGTGCATATCAAGAAAACAGCACAAGCTCATTGTTACGCGCATTGTGCATGCGCGACCCGCCAGCCTAACCACGGGCATGAGCTGTTTTGACTGGAACAGCGGACAGCGTGATCTGTTGCAACCACAGACCTGGCAATTGAAAAGATAGTGCCGGCGGCGAAACACCGCAGTATGCCAACGCTGCTGCAAGCACGAGGTCAGCCGCACCACCCCCCATGATCAGACCGGATTCTGCCCTAGTCAAAGGAACATCATCAGCCCGGCGCTCGCGCCTGTGTTTGAGTGAGGGGTGCATGTGCGCCCCGGGCCACCGCCGTGCGCCGCACGTGGCGCTCCCGTGCCGCCCGAGTGCCTGCAATTGACCGCTTGGCCCAGGCGCCCCTGTGCGCGGCTCGCGGGGCGCGCGCCCGCCGCAGATCGGGTACACGCGGCTCCACCGCGGCGACGGTAGGGTGCCTTGCGAAGAGGCGCCCGCCTGCGCTTCTCAAGTGCTTGAAACTCATCTAAATGATTATGATGGTGATACGCGGTGCTGCCCAGCGGCGATGCGTCCCCGTGGGCCAGCTCCCCCTGCGGCCGGGCAGCGTCCGCCCCAGTTTTCCCGGCCCGTCAAGAGCCCAAGCCAGCAGCAGCCAGGGCGGCGCCAGGGCGGGCGGAGGGCGCGCGCGCGGCGCTGGCTGCGGCCCTCCGTGCGGCTTCAGTGCGTTATGAATACCTATAACAACTCGTTTGGTTGTCTGCTCGGCACAGCAGAGCGAGCGGCCGGCAGGCACGAGCCCGTGGCTCTCCGTCGACCTCCAGGAGGGGCGCGGGTGATCGATTCGATGCGTACCTTTCTATATGATTACCGTGAACAGGCTCAGAGGCTCGGTCACACGCGCAGACGACAGTCAACGTCGGGGCCCTCGCCAAAGAAGCCGCCCCTCGGCATCACAACCGCATCAAAATCACGGCGGATAACCTAGAATATTAACCATGACGACGCCCCGCGCCGCGGCCCACATGTCCCACCTGGGCAGCACCCACCCCCCACGCCCACTGCGGCCGCTCCCGACCGGCCGGGAAAATTGGTGCGGACGCCGTTTGGACGCCGAGGGAGCTTGCCGCCCGGTGCACAGGGCTGCTTTGGCACGATGCCAACGGTTTCCATAATGTTTTTGATACTTTTACAGCGCCCCAGGTACAGGAGGGACGCGCTTACGCCTCAGTTTGACCGCCATGTGTTTTTGCGGCTCGGGCCACCGCCGTGCGCCGCACGTGGCGCTCCCGTGCCGCCCGAGTGCCTGCAATTGACCGCTTGGCCCAGGCGCCCCTGCGCGCGGCTCGCGGGGCGCGCGCCCGCCGAGATCGGGCCCACGCGGCTCGACCGCGGCGACGGTCGGGTGCTTTGCGAAGAGGGTTTGCATGCCGCACCTGGGCAGCGCCCACCCCCCCCCCCCATCACCCGTGGACGAGGGGGTAGGGCGCTCCCCAGTGAGTGAGACCCCACAATGTTTCTGCAGGCGGGTCGCTGCCCGCACAATCCGCCCACCTATAGAAAAAGTTTGGCGCTCAATACTGCTGTTTGCCTGTTTGACAACTGTGGGTCAGAACAATTCACAATGAACAGCCTAGAGAACAGCAAAACCACCCTGATTACATGCTAGGGCTGCTGGTCGCAGACTAGAGCACGTGCATGGTTGAAAATGCGAGTGCGGACGTGCTGCAGGCTCGCGCCGCCGCTGATCAGGTGGGGAGAGGGGCCAGCGGACGCGAGCGCACCCACCAGGAGCAGTGGCTGCATGATCAGTGTGCGATACAACAAGCAGGAAGCGGCCCGCATGTGATGTGCGTGTTCTGGCACGTGCCCGCGTGACTGGGCAGCCAGTGACGAGTGCCGCGCGCCCGCACACCTCCAGACCAGAATGCGTGCGGGCAAGCTGGTCTTGAAGCGTGGCAACAAAAGAGGGAGGAAACCCATTGGAAAAAGAAACGACAAAATCAGCTACAGGGGACGTTTTGGCTGTCGCAGCGTGCCTTTCTGGCCAGAGGGGAGCTGGGCACTGAGATGGTCAACCATCTACCGCCACATTACACCTTGTGACGCGCCGCCGCTGAGCAGCTCCCAACGCCCGAGATCGCGCGCGCTCGAGCCAAGCTGCCATGCTTCGCTCTCTGCAGCGGCTGGGCCCGACGGCCCGACACAAGCAGACACACCGCCGCGCGCCGCCACGGGCGCGTCCAGCAGCCCTCCCACGGCCGCCGCCCGACCGCTCACCATGGCGATCCCAACCCGTCGAAAGCGCATCGACTCTGCAGCCGCCTGGAACAGCTCTCCTCGGAACCAGCCCCGGCCGCGTCCAGCCGCGCTATCGTGTCATGACGTCACGATGACGTCACCCTCACGCCAGGTCGAACGCGAGCCCGACCTTCGGCGGCTTTGAGCCGGGCGAGAGCGCGTCCAGCTGCGCCGCGAGCGTCGCGCGCTCGCCGCCCTGCAGCGTCTGCTGGTAAAGCAGGGACGCCACCCCCAGGTGGTCCACCTGCCGGGATACCACATAGATTCGTGGAGTAAACGTCAGGGGTTTGTTGGCAGTGTGTCTGCAAATCAGACACTGTGTTGCGATTTAGACGCTTGATGGCATCGACGTACACGAGGGTCGCACATCCGATGCGACCTGCGCATTCGACGGCAGCCCTCTCAAGCGCACGTCGCGCAGGCTGACCTAGCATATGCACGCTATGGCTGCTGCTGCCGCTGTTGCTGCTGCCGCTGCTGCTGCTGCTGCTGCTGCTGCTGCTGCTGCTGCTGCTGCTGCTGCTGCATTTCCCGCTGTGCGCGACCCCGCACCTTGGCCTTGAACAGAGCGCCGTTGTTGAGGCGCTGCTGAATGCCCACTGCAAAGTCGACGCTGACGGCGCTGCCCTGCTTTGGGGGGTCGCAGCACGTGCACATTGGGGGGTTCAAATTGAGGGTTCCGGCGGTTCTGGTCGGGGCTGGTGAGGGTGGGGGCACAGCCTAGGTGCATGTAGAGTCAAATGGATGGTGCTGTGGGGGTTGCTCAGCTCCGTTGTGCGGTAAAACCAGGAAGGCAGCTGCAACGGGGCGGCGCTCGCCGCGGCCGCAACGCAGGCCCCGCCGCCCGACCGGCGCCGGGCGGCAGCGGCCGGAGCGCGGCAGCCCAACGAAGAAACCGGACGCGTGCGCCGGCAGCCATGCCTCATGCAACGCCCTTCAGCCGGACCGCTGCGGCCCGCTCCAAACACCGTCCCTCCTCCCGACCCCGGCGCCTTGCCCACCGTCCGACCCCCAAACAATGTAAACCATGCATACACCTGCCGCCTGTATTCCCTCGCCACCGCTCCCCGGTCCCAAACCCCGCCCCCGACCTCCGCCCGCCCAGCGGCCCCCTCCCCCACAACAATGGCACGCGCGCCTGCAGCGGCCGCAACACCGCCGCCGCCGCTGCCCCATCCCATCCATCCAACCCCCCCTGCCTGGCCTCCGCCCGCCCGGCGCCGCCCCCCCCTTCTGTAACCAAACAAAACCCACACACACGTGCAGCGGCCGCGAGACCTCCGCCGCCAGCGCCTTGCCGCGTGCATAGTTGTGGACCACAGACAGCCGCGCGGTAGACAGCCGGTCTGGGGGGCGTTTGGATGGCAGGGATGCGCGCCGCTGTGAACATCTTGACTGTATGCAATGCTTATACCAGGCCACTGCAATCCTTACCAATTCTGTTGCTGATACTGTCAGCGCCGTCGGTGCCAGCAGTCCGCGTTCTTGCGCCGGGCGGTCGAACGGCCGGCGAGCGTGCCGGGGAAAGACACTAGAGGTCCCAAAGCAGAGCATGAGACGAGCGCCCGTCCCCTGGCGCGGCACGTGACTTCACCGCCGCACGGCCCTTGGGCACGCCACACTGCGCAACACCCCCGTCACACGCCGCACGGCGCGGTGGGGCGCAGCGAGGCGCTCCCAATGGAATCCAGCACGTGCGTGCAGCAGCCCGCCGCCAGTGCCGCCCCTCCTCACCCAAGGTCACCCACTCACCCGTCAGCCGCAGCGCTATCTGGCTGTCCGGCCCCATGTAACCGGCCACCACGCTGTAGTCATCGAGGCCACCGCTGCTCTTGGACACATCCACCGCGCCCTCCACACCTGGTTGTGAATCAGTGATGGTGGCGGGCGCGTTGGTGCGCTGTAAGATAGTGATGAGAAAAGCAGGTGCTGTGCACGTGGGGGGCGGGGTGCCAGCAGAGAGAAGAGCGCGGGGCTGTTGGACGAGCCTCTTTGGGCAAGCAGCAAGGTTGCCAGGCGGGCGCTGGCATGGGGGGGGGGTGATTGGGCTGCCCCTGGGCGAAATGCGGTGCGCTGCGAAAGCAGCTGGCCTCAACCACCAAAGATAGGCAGGGGTGCACAGCAACGCGGCCCCCCTCCTTTGAGGAGCGCAGTCAAACCACGAAGAAGCCATAAACTTGCTGTCACACTAAATGACCTGGTGCTGAAATGGCTTCTGAAACTGCGCCGTTGACATTATGGCTGAAGCCGTTCAAGAATTGTTGGACTCTGCAAGTGCAACCGCTAGCATGGACC